TGGGTTTCGCAATATAATAACTTTTCGCGCTTTAGTAAATGAGAGAAAGATTGATGCAAGAGTTTTTCCCCGAGGTGGGTGGGAATATTCTGGCGATTAACCAGTAACCGAAAAAGGTATGGAATTACACTGTTTCTATACGTGGAAGTTCGCGCAAGAAGGATTTGATATTTGGAATGAGTTCGGGGATTTGACAAGGCTTTCTCGACATCTTGGTGCAGACAGTGCCCTTGATCACTTGTTATCCTGTCTATAAATATACTACAAGCGTCAAGACGCTTGGAAAGAAATCAACTAAAACAACTCTATCAACTCCGCTGTAGAGGGTCAACAGTTTAAGGAATCTCGAAAGGAAGTTCATTGGTTATACAGGGATCCACCAGTCATCTACTAGTATTCGGGACGTCGTACAGCTTCTGTTTGAACCGCACAACTTCTGATTGGTGGGCATGATTGGCCTGTGGTTCGCTGTCCAGAAACTGTAACACGTGGGCGCTTGACTGACGTCATCTGTGAGGGTTGACTCACCACAGGTCATCTATCGTTAGACATTGCAATCGCGCTTTATTTGCCCTGTGGATCCTCACCATGAACTCCACAACAATTTTCACTCGTGTACTTCTTAAAATTCCACACACCCACCCCAGTACTGATTCTGGTAAACATACAGTTACATACATACAGATATATCAGGAGATCTTGTACACTCATTGCCAAAGAGCCAAAGTCGTATTCTCAGTTTCATTACTGCGAAACAAAGCCAGTAGTTAACAATTAACTATCTTTAGCGTAGATTAAATCAAGAGCTAGTGCACCATCGCATACGCGCGCACACAATCTTCTTCCGATTCGTGCACACACAGTTGAGCGAATCTGTTCTATGACTGCAACGTTGTTCTGGGGTCACGTTCTATATCTTTTTTAATTTAAGATGTCCGAATATCAATTTAAGATGTCCCGTTGCTATATGGATAGTACGATAGCGCGGTTGCTCCATGGTTTCGCATTGTCTTGCCCCTCTGACCTGTCACATTGAACAGATAAATTCCTTCTGACCTTTTCTGCGATCTGATTGGATCATTTCCAGCGATTTGTGACACTTAGAATCCCTCACCCTAACACGAGACGGTCTGACTACAGGCTTGTACGTTTTGTGATGCTCTTGTTGTCCCGTACAGTCCATCCGTGTGCTGATAGCACTCCTGCTGTACAGTTGAAGCTCACTGATCATGCTAAAATCTCGCTGTGGTAGGTAAGATGTGGTTTCTCGCTCGGGCCAGCTATAGGTCCCTTGTAACGGTTGAACTATCCGACCGACCGATAGATGAACCCGATCGGTCGTGTGATTTTCGACCCGGCACAGGAGCAGGATAAGTTCTGAATACGATGCTACTTTTGAGTGTTGGTAGAGAATCACCACCACAGAAGAATCAGTTATGGATGGATGCGTCATGTGGCAGATTCGGAATGAAAAAAGTCCAAACGATGATGACACTGTGCCAACGCTGGACTCGTCTAAAATACAAACACTTTTTTCGAAACGGGTTCGGTAAACGGATAAACATAATCAAACTTTGAACTTAAGTACGGACTGCAATATACACTAATATAGACCCACGCAACCATCTTCAATGTATTTTATCAACTGACTGTTTTTGCGTTGAACGATCTTGCTAACTACGCAGGAGATAGAATTCAGGAGGAGAAAACAAATATTGCGAAAAGATACATATTTATTTTATCAGAGTTGTTCAATATGTTCTCTATCCTGATTCTTGCATAGCAAAATACGGCGAAGATAGTTTTCTTCCACCTTCAAAGTAGCAGTTGGAATACTTTTGCACTACGCCACAATACTCTATTCAAGTTCCTCGGTCGTTCTCGGTTTTCGGGAATAAACGGTTTACTTTAGGTGTATCCACAGAAAGAAATCCAATGGAGACAGATCAGGTGATCTTGGAGGCCATTCCTTTGGTCTTCTTCGACTAATCTATCTACCGTTATATTTCGAATCGAGGAAAATTCTCACCACCAGAGCATTGTATGGGTGTGCACCGTCATGCTGAAACCAAACTGCAGTACCAACTTCAGTTTCTATAAGCCAGATGGCAGAGACTACATTATCTTATAACATTTTCAAGTACGAGACACCTTCAACAATGTGATGAGGAAAAATAATCTTACCTGTTACGTTTCCGTTTAAAATGTACGGTCCGACAACCTTGCCGTGCATTATACTGGCCCATACTAACATCTTGGGACTATGAAACGATTTTCAGCCAACAAATTGTCTTCTTGGGTTTTCAGCGGCCCAACGAATGGAATTTGTAAGATTTCCGTTTACATGAAAAATGGCTTCATCCGTGAAAAACGTTTGCCACACATCCAAGTGTGCCAGGTACCATGTGGAAAATTCTAGTCGGCACTCAGGATCGCTGACACGAGGTTTTTCCAGCTAATCCTCTTTCAAGAGACGAACGTTTTGTTTTAATACCTTGAGCACCAAATATTGTGACCTGTTACACACCTGGGCTGTTAGATGAAGTAAAACTACGGAAATCTAGCTGAATAGATTGTGTCTTGTGGTCCGTCAGTTCGTGTTTGGTGGTTCAGGTTTTTTGTTCTCCCAACCGAATAGCAGGTCCCCTTGCCTACTATTACTGCCACTACTACTACTACTACGACGACGACGAAGACGATGATGACTACTACTATTACTTCTGTTATAAATCTGAAAAATAGTGCCTGGTCGATGATAGCTATTTATTATGAGTATCGATAAATTGTCATTCATACAACAAAGTGTCTCATTTTGAACGAGTCTTCAGAGTTTCCATACGCACACAGAACAGTTGATGGAACGGTCCATCAGTAGATACTCATTCCTGTATTTACCATACTGAACAGCAGCAATTCGCTACAACAGGTCTTGTTCATTTTTGGCCTTAGAAATCAAATACTAATGGCATCCTTTGGCGAACGACTCACAAATGTATCTCAGAATACTACTACAAATGCTACGTTTTATCGCGCTATAACGTATTACAAAAACTATGGAGCTGTCTAGCGGCAATAGGCAAATTTCCCATATTATTCTATCACTAGTGCAGATACTAGCTCATGCATATCTAGTCCCAGTGGAAGAAAGTTTTTAGATTGGGTTTGAATGCGAAAATAGACTGGGCAATTTATTGAATCATGGAACAAAGTGTGTGGGTGTGCGTGTAACGAAATAAACAGAATTGGATTATATGTACATCAGAACGGGAGTTCATGTGGAACTGGCAGTTGGTGGCTGTGATTCTTGCTTCAGACGATAGACCATTTCCACTGCGTCAAAATAGCCCAACGATTGGAACACATCGATCAAGTCACTAATCGGCGATCGGAACGCCTCTTCTGCACTGGTATCCCCGTCATGTGTGCTACCACAACGAGGCAAAGTGAGTTGGATTTGATTGGAAGCGTAGCATTTTCTCCACACCATTAGAACTTCGTATGTCAGTTGCGTCATATTGTTCTCGTAGTCACGTTGTATGAGCATGGCAAGTCGATCGTACTCTTCCACAGGCAATCCCAACGCTTCAGCCAATTTTTGTGGTTCCTTAATGTGTAGTGCCAATGACCGCAGAACGGAGCTCTTGAGAAGTTGTAATTCGGCATAGATAGCTGTGTAATGCAAAAAAATGAGGAACATAATAAAGGTTTCGTTCATATAAATAAATAGACTGTCAGACTGAAGTGCATGTCTCAGTTTTAACCAATTTTCGAGCTGAACAACTTGATGGCAAAGGGCTCATTTCTAGCAGAGATAATAACTTCTGTGCTCAACCCCCTTACGTGTTAGGGTTTGTGCAGAGGAATAAAAATCGGTAATCGGAATAAAATCGGTAAGAGACCTAGAGAATACCCTAAACACCTTAGTTTCCGACTGTATTTCAAATCACGCGGTATTTTCAACACACATTCACTGCGATATGCAAACCAGGGGTAAACAACGTTCGTAATCAATGATTGTATTGCTTTGCATTGCCTAAAGGGATGATCGTCTGTGAAAATTTTTCGGTACACAGATCGACCGGGAATGGATTGGACAAAAATACTCTTTCATTGTTCTCCTTTTCCTTTCCCCAAAACTTCGACTTGTATCATTCCCCATGGGGATTACCACCGACGACCATGATTAGCGAAGCACCATCAGATAGTAGCATTGGCAGATCGATTATCTCGTTCCACTCCCGGGTATCGCATGTTTCTCGTTAGAAGTGAGAATTCAGCTTCAACATGAACGAGTGAGTTTTCACATTGTTCGGATTGCTGTGCTAATAGTGCAACGAGTACGCACGCACCACGGTATAGCTTCCGGGTAGCCAATCCTGTTGTCTCAACTTACATCAATCGGATTGGCTGAATGCAAGAAGGCAACAAAATGAGTCATATCATTGTCGATTGAAGTTTGAAGAATCGACCAATGATTGTTTAATGCGAGTGATATTTATGTGCATGATTTGCCGTTTAGAATTAAATGTATCCAGAGCTCTTCTTGCTTCCGCCCGGCTTTGCTCCATTCAGTGGGTTTTCAGTCCGAATTCGAGTTCTCGCCAATCGATTCCGATTTCTATTCCGAACATTAAAACATCATTTTATTTTTCGATTCTACAACACTCAGCTGATGCTGGTTAAGCGGAAGCAGGTGCCATCATAGTGATTCGTAGATCCTGTCCTCCGCTATCGCAAAACAGTCGTGCTACATTTCTCCGGATCGCTTCTTACGGGAATCGAATTGCACAACGAACTGTAAGAACCATTTCATATTAGGATTTTGTTTACTTTACAACTGGTTAGAAAATGTTTTTTTTCATCTAGTTGACCCAGTTTATTTTAAAATGTTTTTGGGAACCCTAACCGGAGCCTTTGACTCAAGGCATTTAAGTTTAAGTAAGTAAATAAACACGCAACGAATCAAGAAGTACGTTTATTACAGTGGGCACACATGCGGCCGGTCCATAGACTGGTGACCAAATGGGGGCGGGAAACACGTAGACAGACAGGTCGAAAAACGGCTCAAGCGTCACACGACATTCAAATGCGGTCAAGCAGACATTTAAACAGTCAACGGATCAATCAGCATGGACAGTCTAATACTAACACCTGATTGGCTGGAGCCGATCGATTCTGTAGTAGATTTGGTAAGCATGGAGTGTGTGCGTGCGTGCGAGCTACCAGCTAGGATCTGTCAATCAATCGACCAGGAATGCACAGTCACTTGTAGGCCCCAACAGCGGAGTACTTGAGTTTGTGGTACTCGATTACTAATGTGGTTCTGTCTGACAAATAATGAACATTTGAGCCCTGCTTCTACAAATAAGAGATCTGTCCCAACCGCAAGCCGAATGTCATCGATTGGATATCGAAGTATGTTGTGTAACTTGGATGTTTGATTACGTCGAAAGCGGACACGATCTGATGGGCACTGGCTCCCAATGAATTGTGATTTTCACACACTACCCCGCTACCTTGCGGGTCAGACTTTGGCTAGTTAAAGACTCCGGTTGTGAGTTCCTCTTCCTCATCTGAATCATCATCATCATCTACATCAGCATCATCATCATCATCAAAATTATCAACGCCTCAAACTTCAATCGGTGTCAAGTTGTACTGTTTTTTTAAATTTTAACGTGACCTATTCACTGAATGAAATGGCATCTTAGTTGATAAAAACACCCAGCAATTTGCATTTCCCATATTGCCTTACCGGGGTCGACCACATCCGATTTGGGCATACAGTCTTCCACATCTGATGTGATGTGCCGAGCCAGGTCAGTGGACGAACTCACACGAGCTTTGGCTGTGGCGCTCACATTACGCTGATTCGATTGTTGTGAACGGGATCGGGGTGTGCCGGTCGATTGTTTACCTTTAGAACCCTTTTTGGACGAGATGGCTGCCGTGCCTCCTTTGCCTTGCGGTGTACGCAGATAGCCGACCACGACATCTGGATCGATTAAGATCTGACAATGTGATTAGGAGTGTATTCACTGTTAATACATATCCTCTAAGCCTTAATAACGAGTCCCATTTTCTGGTAATCTGGATAAGGGGAACTAGCATGTGCAAAATAAATTGGGAAAAACGGATCATAAATGAATGAAGTTATGTGGGAATTAGATTACAGATTAATTGGCACAGAATTGAAATCAAAAGTATGAATGAATTTTTAGGAGGTTGCCATTGCCCGCCACGCCCCCCCCCTTAAATATATGCTGCTTTAACGAGTTCGTTCAATTGCAGATTACTTGAATCTTGTATGCAGAAAGTGTTTTGTTTCCCGAATGAACTGGAAAATAGAACGTCAAACTGTTGGTGTTCCTAAGTTCTCCGGGCTGGAATTGTTGTACGCAGACGTTTCTTAGCCAGGCTAGGCAATCACCAACATCAACACCCGCATCCCGAGCTACAATCATTACGCATCATTTCAAACACATATGGACGTGAAACGCTTAAGCATGCTCGACAATAGAAAGTCGGGCAATGGGAAAATCGGTTCTCGTAGCTCGATTGAACTCAATTCAATTTCGCCTGTTCGCCGAGCCTGGTGGTAATTTGCTTGCAAACGTTACATCATCAACAGCCGAGGAGATGTCATCAACAGTCCTTGTGAAGTGGCAGTGTTCTGCTTGTATCCGTTCGTTTGTATATGTGTGTGCTTCTCCATCGACCATTTTTGTCACTTGTTCTCATACTGTTCGACTCGGCTCGCCGTTGAACTGGTGCGGGGCAGTGAGGGTGGGAGGGAAGGTGGTTGTCCTGTCGTCCCGATTGCGGTTTCCGTCCGTTCTCAGGGCACGCAGTGGCCTTTCCTATTGCGTCACCTGGTCCTTGAGTTGCTTTGGCGTGTACACGTGATCCAGTTCGATGTGCCTGTTTATTGAGTTGTTTGAAGAGTGCCAAGCCTCGAGAAATTCTCGGGCATGTTTTGACCGGGTTTGGTTGATAATTTTCACTGATTCGAAATCAAACGGATATCCTTCTTAATCTTCATGGAGGGAAATCAACGACAGTGGGTCAGACCTTCCGATCCTTGCTGATCGATGTAGTGTTTTGAACAGTTCTAGCAGTTTATTTTGTGGATAACACTGCTCTTATTCTTCTTCATTGTTCTCTCCTTCCGTTTTGATAGACGTCTCCTTAGACAGGGGAGCAGGGGCAATGACATTTAGAGTTCTATCAAGTTCTCGTTTGTATAATCTTCGGACAAAACTGGTTATGATTAGGGAGACTTAACGCTGCTAGTTTCATGTTGGCCGGTTCACTGTTTTCACAAACTATTACTGTGGAGTCTACTTGAGTGAACTATTAGTAGTTTTACAGAGAAGGACAAAGTTCACTGACTGGGTTCGGAGGAAGATATTCTGGCAAACCTTGACTCGAAACGTTCGGTCGTGAATAGTGGCGTGCCATTTTGTCGAGGGAAGTCCACAGTTCCTCACTCCTAACCACCACTTGTACTATGGTGATCGATTGCTTGGATATTGCCACGTGCACACAAACACGTGTGTGATATGCATACAGGAATCGTGGCCCAAAGAAAACAGACGATTTGCTGGTCAACATGCCTGGTTTTGCAAGCTTTCGACAAGACAGAGAAAGAAGCAGAAGGGATTCCGGAGGCGGCGTAATAACCTACATTAACTCCAGTTGGTGCGGCAAGCCTGAAACGTTGTTTGTTTTCTCCTCTTATGAAATTGACTGCCTTACTGTTTCATGTCGACCTAGGTTTTCGCCTTATCGGAGCACAATTATTACAAATCTATACATTGCCCCTTCTTGCTCACAAACTGAAATTTGTTCTTTCTACGATGCATTTATTCCTTTCATTGGACGATAATTTAATTTCATTTGTCGGTGATTTTAATCACGGATCAACCCAACCTTCACTTTCTTTTGGCCTGGCAGATCTCTCTTTAACGCCCACCAGAATAAATGCTTTTTTGGACAAGCTTATTACCAATCACCCTAATATCTTCTCTCTCAAAATGAAGACACCAATTTCGTCCAGTGACCACTGTCTTCTATGTCTTAGACAAAAAGTTTACTCTGGGTTAGCACACCCCGCTTTTCTTTATACAAAACAAATAAATAACAAAATTCGGAACCTTTCAGCCGACAGACTCCTCCTCAGAAAATCTCTCATTACTATATTCTCATGGTTTTCAGTTCAACAGTCCTCCTGTTCTGTTGAACATTTTACAGGAACAACCAACGTGATTTTCAATCTATGCTGATCTATGAAGACAGTTTTTGTTCACACTGGTAGAATATACTCTCCGCCGCTAAAAGCTCTTAGAAGACAAAAAGAACTAGCGTTCAAGATACATCAAACAGCCACTGTCAAACAACTTACACTACAAATCAGGGCAGGGATCAAAATACAGAATGCTTCATTCGCAAAGCAAGCTTTGGGAGCTGGAGATGAAAGACGGCTATGGCAAGGGATCAGATTGCTTTGCGGACAGAAGAAACGGACAACGAACAAAATTATGGACGTGGACAGCCTCAATGCTGCATTAATTCATCCTTCGAATGATCTCCTGTCTCCGTACTCCACAGATCATCTATCTACCATAGACCCGGTCACCTATGAGGAGGTCTGCCATCTTCTTAAAACTACGAAAATCACGAACGCAGTTGGCCCCGATGGTTTATCTTCGGCATTTCTCAAATATAGCGCTGGCTCAGTCACAGAGCTGTTTACGTCCCTCATCAACCATTCAATCTACACATGTTCCATTCCGGATTCCTGGAGACCGTTCACCATTGTTCCCATTCCTAAATCCACTTCATCTAGCTTTTTATCTAAACGCTTTCGTCCTATCGCCATCACCTCCTCTAGACTTACACTTACAGAGCGCGATATTCTCACACCCACCCACCCTAGTTTGCATACAAGCCAAATAGATGCACTTTGGATGCCGTCTTTTCAATGACACACTTTATGTGCAAATCCTTAAATGGTTCTCAAAAGTCGGTTCGTTGTGTTTACCTTGACTACTCCTCGGCTTTTGATTCCGTTCCACGATTTCTTCTCCTGCGGAAGTTGGAGTTATTCGGTTGCCCCACCAACATGTTGTCATGGATGAAAGATTATTTCACAGGAAGGACTCTTTGAACGAAAGCAAACGGCACTACTTCAAAACTGTTAGTGAATAATTCTGGAGTCCTTCAGGGTGTTGTGCTTTCCCCCTACCTAGTTTCGACTTTCATCGGTGACTTATCCTCAATTCCACCAGCCCAGACCTTCAAGTATGCCGATGAGGTGGTCGTATGTCAAGCATTTCGGTCATAAGATACTCAATGACCGATACTCAATCCCGATTTGTCTGCTTGTCGTTCCCACGCTTCAACCCTTTTCGCTAGTTGCCTTCCCGCATAAATATTTACCGCAACTCAACGGTTCCCTATGTGGCTCGTATTCTCACTGACACGGTGAGGATCCGTAACGAACTAATTTTAAACTTACAAAGATGAACACCTATTTAAGTTTTATCATTGTTGTATATGAATTTTCATTTCATTTTTTATCCCATTGTAACGGTGAACACATTTTTGAGTGAAATGCAGGCACAGTCGCCTGCAGAAATCATCTATAATACAATACATTCACACGATACACGCAATACCGATCACAGGGTCAATTGATGGGACTAAAATGACGTTTTCTAACAGGCTTCGGGATGGAGTGAGGGGCACACATGAAATGAACACGAGTAAAAATCGTTTGACCGGTTATTAGCTGCCCTTTTTAAGATAATCAGTCGGATCAGTGTAGGGATAAATTTCAAATCTCCAGTTTCAACGTTCATCAAAATCTAAATCTCTTTCCAATATTGACAACAACATATGGGAACCCTCTGTGATAATAAACGATCAGAGTCTAATTATTCTATGTCTAGAAAAAGAATCAGATGTGGTAGCAAGTGACGGAGAGTAATTGTAAAGTGAATAATGTTAACCAGTCAATCCGAGACAACTCCGAATTCCAACTGGATAAATCAAAGTATGACGTCACATAGTCAGGCGAGTAAACGATTAACATTGAGTGGGAGTATACAGGTCACATTTAAACAGAACTGGGATTGTCTGACCTGTGTGTGTGACCTGTGGCAGTATTTATTTCGCTAAATGAGCATTCGTTTCCCGTATTATTGCTTACTTTCTCCTGCACGACAGTATCATGTTTCTCAAATCGCTTTCTGTTCAGATGGCTCTGTGATGCTGTTCTGCAGACATGTGTCAGATGCCCGATCTTCCCACAGTTACGATAAATTGTTTGCTTGTGTCGACAATCATCCGCTGATACATGTTTATTTCCGCAGTGGTGACATACTCCTAGACTGAACGTTTTGCGAGTGACGTGATCTTCCGTGTCAGTGTTGCACGTTGTCTGGGTCTGAATTTTTTGGAAAACTGAGTAAATTGATGGGTGATTTTCTTTTGATGTCGAACGGTTGCATATGCCCTTTTCCAGGTGAGTTTAGATTTTTCTTCCGGTGGTAATTTCTGGTGAGCTAGATCGCTCCGTATTTCAGTTATATCAGGCACTGAATTGACATTTCTTCCTCTACCTTGCTTTTATGTATTTTATTAGACCGACTGTCCGGCAGCACTTGTTGTATTCTTGTGATGAAATCGTCAACATTTTCTTCAGTGTTTTGGTGCAATTTAGAAAAATAGTATCAAGCAATGTGTGTGCTAGGTCGAGAATCCCAAAGTTCACTAAATGTATTGAATAATTTATCCAAAGTGTTATCGCCACCAATATACAATTAGTCGAAATGACGCTGGCCTTCATCACCAAGGCATTGGGGAGAGTTTCATTTTGTGAGTCAGTAAGCACCGTTTGTGGATGGAGTACAGGTAACAATTCAATGTGGTCCATGAATGTCCTTTTTCATCGATTCCAGGTGGAAAGCAATGGTTTTTCTGTGGATGAGCACCACGATGGTGAAGG